GTAATGAAAAGGTAAAGAGCGACTGTATTGACGTGATCAGCGGTGAGCATTTTTTCCGGGAAGGAAAATGGTATTCACATCCGCCGCGTGGTTAGCCGAGCATTCCCGAGTCTTTTCGGGTTTTACGTCCGGGGCTGTGTGAAAACCTTCCAAAAATGGATGGGTAAGCAGAATCAAATGTCGTTATTTTCCGTTTTGCCGCGCTCGCCGGCCATCCCCCGGCCCCGCCCCCGCTCGCTGGAGCAGGGGGCATCCAGGCCCGGCTCTGAGCCAGGGAAGCTGAAAGCCCTCTGCCCGGTATGTATTTAAATGACACCACTGACGTCAGCACAGCCATAAAACAGGAGGCCAGCCATGCCTGAGCAGACGGTCAGCCCCCCGCTGGCCTGGTTGGTGTACTGCAGATGTGTTTAGATGGATGGGGGGTGGAGTGGGGGGGTTACACAGAGAGCCCCCTTTGTCTTGGTGTTTGAGAAGAGTGCTCCTCGGTGTAAACTGGAAAGAGGACATCTCCGGATCAGACGGGGCCCCCCTCGGGCTTAAGGCCTCGTTTGTGCTGGGCTGCAATCTGAATATTATTTCCCGCAGTCCAGGAAAATGCCGTTCCTGCCAGCATGAGGGCCGAGGCTGTCCAGCGAGCAGCTGGATAAAGATCTGATGTCCCCACAACGTGATGAATACCCTTTTTTTTTTTTTTTACCTTAAGGGAAAACTCTATTTTATAAAATCATTGACTGCAATTAAAAAAACGAACAATGCAAAAACTCTTGTATTGTGTTTGGTTACTTATGGTTATGGTTAGGGCTGGGTAGGCGTTAAGGTTGTCATAGTTAGCATTAGCATTTTTCCCATAGAAATTAATGAGCGGTCCCCAAAAAGATATGATTACACAACTCTGTGTGTGTGTGTGTCTGACTTTATTATATTAGGGTCAATGCCCTTGAAATCCTGCCTGATGTTTACACACCCCGGGTGTAGAGTCGACGGGCGCGATCAGATTTCAGGTCTTGGGAGAATGTAGGGTGCTTCCGGATTGCCGTACTCCCTGGGACATCTTCAAAACTGCTGGTAATTTACGATCGGTATACCCCCCCCCCCCCCCCCCCAGGCCGCAAAGGTGCCAGTCACGCTAATCCGACATGCTAAATTGTTCAACCCGAAAAACCTAAACAGTATGTCTGATCAGAGGTGTAAGTGGATCTGGGTTGATAAGATTATTTGGGGCTTATGGTGAGCCCCCCCCCCATCGAAGAAGGCGAGACCACAAAGGCAGTGTGTCCTCCCCCTTCCCTGTGACAGAGTGTGCTGTTCCGGTTGCGAGTCCCTGCTTCGCACGTATCTGGAGTGTCACATTTAGCTTTTTTTGGGGGGTGGGGTAGGGTGTGCCAACCCCATGGTGAGGGGACCTGTGAGTGTGGGTGGGGGGACATTCCATCACACCCAAGCGGCTGTGGGAATGTAGGCGCGTGGGAATTAGATAGCAGGACAGGGAGCCTGGACGCAGTGTCACTTTACGTGGAGTCACTGGAGTCACTGGACTTTCTGTCATGTGACTCTTCAGCTGCTCCTTCTGTAAAGACACCTGTGTTCTGAATGTACCTTCACTACATATATATATATATATATATGACATATGTATAAGGACATTAAAAATTTACAAAGGAGAGGAGGCCATTCGGCCCATCAAGCTCGTTTGGGGAGAACTTAACTAATAGCTCAGAGTTGTTGAAATCTTATCTAGCTCTGATTTAAAGGAACCAGGGTTTTAGCTTGTGCTACACTAGCAGGAAGACTATTCCATACTCTAACTACAAGCTGTGTAAAGAAGTGCTTCCTCAAATGCAGTTTAAAATGCAGTTTTCTCCCGCTAATTTCCACCTATGGCCACGAGTTCTAGTATTTAAACTAATATTGAAATAGCCATTTGGCTGAACAGCTTCGAGACCTGATAGAATCTTATATACCTGGATCATGTCCCCCCGTAATCTTCTTTGCACGAGGCTGAACTCTCCTCATAGGACATTCCTCTGAGACCAGGAATCATTCTTGTAGCCCTACATTGAACCTTTTCCAAGGCAGCAATGTCCTTTTACGGTATGGTGACCAAACCTGCACACAATATTCTACGTCTATATACACACACACACTGTTAGTAATAATAATAGTAATCATCGATACTTTATTAATCCCCTTGGGGAAATTGTCTTTACGCCTCCCTCAGCTCTTTGTAGAGTCAAAAACTGCATGGGTGTATTGGTAGTTGCTGTAAATAACAGGGTTATTTTAAGAGAGGTTTTGAAATGGCTAAGCTGACACATTTTGACAAACATATGCGTTACATGGTTTTACACCAACCTGAAGATCATTGATTTGCACAGTACTTTATATTCCATTTACATAACGCCCTATTGCACAAGCAATTTGCACAGTTTTCATATTGCATATTTATATTTTTTCATATTGTTCACTGTTATGTCTGGATTTTTTTGTTGCATTTATTTCTTCCTAAATTATCCTTTGCTGGATCCTACCCTTTCATGCTACCAGACAAAAAAAATCACTCCTTTTGTATCTTATCTAATCCTCCTTCTCCTCTATGGGTTGTAATCTATCGGCATTTTCCCGAAGCATTTGCCTTGAACAGTACTGGAGAAGTCACACGAATCTGCATTCGCTTGCTGCACTGGCCGTGGGAAAGACATTTACCGCGGTTTATGCGTGTGGCTTCGATGCCAGGGTGTGCTTGTGAGTCGGTTTGCTTTTTCTATCAGCTGGCATGCGGATGGATGCTGGCAGATTCTTTCTGCGCCGGAGCTGAAATCCGGAACGCGGGAAAATTCCCTCGTTTGTAAAGTTTAATTGGATTTGCATTCCCAAAGGCCATTTAGGTCATGTTTTCTTTCATAAACGCAGTGTCAGTCATATTATGTGTTTTACTGCACATATTTCCTTTGTCTTCACATTCTTACCGTCTGTCCTGTGGCTCATGCTGACTTTTGAAACACTCATTTTCCTCCCTGGCAGCGTGCGCTTGACGTCACTCCCAGCACTTACGACACTGATCTGAAATCTGTGGGCTGATTCACAGTGAATGCAGGGCTGTGTGTGTGTGTGTGTGTGTGTGTGTGTGTGGGGGGGGGGGTTATGTTTATATTCCATTGTGTGGACCAGGTGTCCCCGCAATGTGATAAAACCCCATTATTTTGAAGTTGTGGGGACCATTTTTTCAGTTTTATAAAAAATCATTGACTGCAATCAAAAAACTAAAAATGCCAAAAATCTTGTATTTTGTTTGGTTACTTATGGTTATGGTTATGGTTAGGGCTGGGTGGGGGTTAAGGTCGTCATGTTGGGGTTAGGGTTTTCCCCGTATAGATAAAAGGATAGTGTGTGTGTGTGTCTGTGTGTGTGTGTGTGTGTGTGTGCGTGTGTGGTGAGCCAGACGGTACAGGCTGGTGGTGCCCTACGTGAGAGTGGGCAGCCAGCTACTTCCCACGCTCATTTCACCATGGGGTGGAAGAGGCGGAAGGGCAGAGGGTCCTGGTGCAGATTGAAGATAGAAGCAGCAAAGGTAGAAGCACTGAGAGAGAATAAGCAGGAGGCATGAAGCCTTATAGAGGCCATGAGGCCTGGAAGCATCACGCCAGCCGGCGATCAGGCAGCCCGGCAGAGTCACAGCCATCAGCACGTGCGGATTCCCTCTGGCAGTGTGAACATTTGCTTATTAAAAATGAAATCTTACACCTGCACCCGATCCCCCGATGGCCCGGCGCAGAAGGAAACGGCCAGTCAGAGATGCGACGTAATCACGCTGCCTACACCTGCACTGCTGAGTGGTCCTCTGGGGGGGGGGGGGGGGGGGGGGGGGGGGGGGAGAGAGGGACTGTGCGCAAGCCAGCGGAGCAGAGGATAAATGATTTCGTTTCCTGGCCTGGGCAACGGAAACCCCCTACGTACGCCAATGCGCTCCTTACGCCTCAATGGACCGTTGACAACCAGAAAAACCAGACTGTTTGACGTCAGCTCGGGGTGGGGGGAAGATCTGGCGGAAGGGGTTATGGGAAGGAAAGGCCCCCCCGTCTGGAACCCTGTTTACCTGGAACCTTTAGCTGCCCTCTCTGTGCCTGTTGGGGGGGGGGGGGACCCTCCACTTCAGGGCTTAGCAGACAAACAAGCACTCTGTGGGGTTTTATGTGGGCAGGCATTTTAATGCAGCTGTGGCGCATGTTCCGCCGCAGACTGGGGCGCGGCGCTGAGATCCAGCTCCTCCTTACAAGGCCCAAACTGCACAGAAATCTAATGGACCATCATGGTAGGGAAGGGGTGCCCAACTATTTTTTCTCTGAGGGCCAGATTGCATCAGAAACACAAAGCCAAGGTCCACTGCCCCCAGATAACATTTGCTGGGGGGTGGGGGGTCTGACGATTGCAGTTAAATTGTACTTTGGTCTGGATGCACCAGCTGGAGATCCCTGCCCTGGGGTTTCCTGTGCAGCAGACGGAGGATGAGTCTTCAGGCCCAGAAGGAGTTTTCTTATGCCCACCTGTCAGGGATCTAAAGTTCCAGGGGGTGGGACAATGACCCACCTCTGAAGTGCAAACAGGACCCTGCCGCCCCCCACTCATGCAGACAGCCAGCGCAGACCTGACAGAGAGCAGCCCCGCATGCTTCCCTCTGTCCCTCCTTCACACACCGCTTGTGCAGTGGAGGCTGGGTGAGCGAGGATGGGCCCCTCCCACCCCTCCCGGCGCAGCCTACTGAAACCAGGGGGCGGGCTTTCTGAAGTCCAGAGGGGCGGAGTCTGAGGAGGGGCAGGGAGGTAGAAAGAGGAGAGCGGAGAGCTGCTCTCCCCGCAGTCAATGAAAGCGATACCCTGTGCCCGTGATGAAGGAGCACAGCGCAGGCCTGTGCAGCATGCCTCTGGGACACCCGAGGGACTGTGCCTGGGACTCGCTGGAGCCACTGCAGCCTGAGTACATGTCCATGTGTCTGTTCGCAGAGGACTCCTACCAGAAGCTGGCAATGGAGACTATGGAGGAGCTGGACTGGTGCCTTGACCAGCTGGAGACCATCCAGACGTATCGGTCCGTCAGCGACATGGCTTCCAACAAGGTGAGCGGCGGCGTCCTCGTGGCGATGGGTACCTCCGGATCGCTGCTGGTGCTAAGGGGCAGAGGAGCTCTCCCTCTCTGGCCACACGGCTTACAGTGCGGGAAGAGGAGAGGGCAAGAAGTGCGTTCCCGTGCACCAGTGCCATGCACCAGTGCCATGCACAAGTGCCATGCACTAGTGCATCCCCAGGCTGCACAAACTGCCTCCCTCCTGATTGTTGTCCTGGTCCCAAGCCATCCCGTCACATCATGCCGCTGTGATTGCGTGCCCGCTCCCCGTTTCATCGCAGCGCCCGCAGCAGAGCTCGGGGGTCTCCTTTGGGGTAGTGACTGGTGTTTCCAGAATGGAGACGTCAACGGGAGAGGAGATCGCTGGATTACGGGGGAGACGTAGACCGTGTGTCCGGGGGGGAGCTGAGCTGCTTATCTGCATCGCTCCTTGTCCATAAGAGAGAGCATTTCATAATTAATTATCACTAATAAGCAAATTATTGATAATTAATGATCAGTTAATTGTAAACAATAATAAGGAAGGTGATGAGTATGAAATGGATGCGTTTATGAAGGAGAGCAGGGACTTTCCATGTGGTTCTTTGGGTCATTCAGGGAATCAGGAAGGTGAGGGGGTGACGGATGAGCTGCGGCTGTTTGCGCCGTGACTCAAACGACTCCCGTCTCCTTCCTGATCTGGCTTCCTTTGGTAAAGGTCCAAGGGCTATGGCAAGGACTCTGTTAGCGCCTCAGGGCCGTGGAATTATGGGATATAAACTGTTTACTGAGGAGACAATATATTTTTGAGGTTGTCCAGACTGTAAAGCTCACCTCACTGTCCGACTTGCATGCATCAGATGAGTATAATTATTGTTCTAGGTTTTTAACACTAGTTACTGTCCCAGTCCAGAAACATTGTTTTCTGCACCATCTTAGCATGGATTCTGTACCTTAAGGGACATTTGTTTGACCTGTTGATAGGTCATGGTGGTCGCAGATGTTTCTGACAGAACCGAGTGAAGGTGTGACCAGTGTGTGGTTCTAACTAGCTGTGAAGCCAGAGCAGCTGCTTCATTCAGAAAAGCAATTAAATAAAATGAAAACTCCGGGAATTTATATGACTGCTACGCAGCGTCCTGTGAGGTTTTAATTCGTTTTGACTTTTTTTTAATGTGTAACCTTCTATGGTGCAGCTGTAACAGATAGAACCGCAGAACCCTCTGCATTCTCCCCGATAGAACCGCGGAACCCTCTGCATTCTCCCCGACACGCTAAAAAAAAATTAGCTAGCAAAGGGAGAAGTCGCTCAACCTTCACAGTGCCGTCATTCCCGCCCCGATCCCTTGGCTTGTGTCGAGGAATGCGAGCGACTCATGTGCGGACCTGCAGGGAAGCCGCCAGCGTGTGGAGAAGCTGGAGCCGAGAGTGGAGGCAGGGGGGAGGGTGGCTGTGCATCCCGAGGGCTGGTGGGGAGCGGCCGTGTCGTCAGCCCCCCTCCCCGCGGACGCCCAAGGCCCACACCCAAATTTTGGAAATCTGCCTTGTGTGATGTTAACGGGAGGAATGATGACTGCTGGCGAGCTGCTAAGGCACCTGGCATGAAGGAGAACGGCCTGTTGTGGTCTGTTTTTTTAGCAATTAGCAAAAGGCTGCAGGTCCCGCATGGTGGTTAAGGACGCTGACCTGGGTTGCCAGATGTTTTAGGGATTTTTATTAGCCACCTGGACTAGTGATTTTCACACACTCTTGCTTGCTTTCCACAAGACACACATATGCAGGGATGGGGGCAAATTCCCCAGCCATGGGATTCGACCTGGCAACCTTCCAGGTTTTGTTACTAGTTCAAAACAGAAGGAGCAGACAGGCAGTTGCTTTGAGGACAGGCATCTTCAAGGTTCCAGCAACCCCTCACACAGGTCTGCCCAGCGTTTGCGGACGCCGGCCGCAAGCCGCGCTCTTTCGTCAGGCACTTAATATCGTAGAGCCTCACCCGGAAATACTGAGGGTTCTGAGAACTGGCAGGAAGTGAGTGGCTATATGAGAGGCGAGACACCGCTGTAAAGACTAGAAGTCGGAGCAGAAGCAGCGACAGCTGGATCATGGTGTGTGTCCCTCTCCTCTGCCTCGCTCCATGCCGGAGTGGCACTGGAAGGCAGAAAGGTCTCCGGGAAGATCACCCGGCCCGTTACAGCCGACCCAACATCGGGGGCGATTCTGCTCAGCACAAAGACAAAAAGACAAAGTTTACCCGTTGCTGGAAGCAGGTAGGCTGTGGTCCTGTGGACGACCGATTCTGCGTCTGTTTCGGCGTTCCTCGGAAACCGGCTGGTCCGGCTGTCTTTTTGGGGGATCTGATTCTGGGCAGGACAGGCTATGAGCTCAGCTCATTCTGACTGATTTTGGGGGGGGGGTTGTTGTGTAGAAGATTGTGTAGCTTGCCAGGCTGTTTAGCTAGTAAACATGTTGCAAAACAATACTGGTAGAAATTTTAATGGCTGCATCCAGGTGTAACCCAACTTCGCTGCTGCTGCCTAATCTTGATTTTTGACAGTTAATTTGTATCTTCATTTGTATCGCATTGAATGCATTGTAGTTGCACATGGAACAAAATGCATTTATACGACGCAAAAAATTCATAAACGGTAATTCGGCCGTAATTATGCCTGACATCCAACCCGTTAACATGGTAATTGGAAACATCTGATGGATTTGGTAGTGAGTGTGATTAGACGTCCGCTGCAGAGTTTCCCAAACACGCGGAGGTTGGGCTGCACCAGTCGGGAGGCAGCGCTGAGGTAAACTGCGGATGCATTTTGCCGAGGGAGGGAGAGAGGAAGTGTTTCAGTGCGTTGAGTAATCTGGAAGGCGCCAACATTCCAGGTTGCCGATTTCACAACTTGGTGACGTCACTCGTACGCAATTCACTGTTGAGAAAAGATGAATGTGGATTCATTTGGAAGGAAATGAGGCCGTCAGAGGTGTTTTTTAATATTACCAAGAATTTCATACTGAATTTAAACAGATGCTGACTGTTGCCTCATGTTTTTCTTTGTGTTGCTGCTGGTCTTTCTGAATTACAAAAGTAATGATGAAAATATAGCTAACGTATGGATTTCATTCGTGAAGGAATTTTTCTGGGGGCTGAACAATGTACAAGCACTATATTGCATTGTAGGCTGCTGAATGAACATAAAGATGTATTTGTTGTTTGATTGTTTCCAATCCTCTGCTTCAAGCGCCCCCTTCAGGTGGCCACTGGTACTGCAGCTCTTGGGTGCTCGTCCCACGATCATGGATGTTGCCTCTGGACACCCGCATCCTCAGCAGCTATGAGGCTGCATTTACTTAGCAATGTTTGACCGCTGAGCTTATCTCCTTTAGCATGTAGCGTATCTGGTGCTGGACCGTAGCCTGGGACATCTGCGAGAGCCCTAATGTGTTTTCACAGTTGTAGATGTGATTAGCGACCGTTGTGTAACATTAAGAAGAAACTTGAGTCCTTTTCATGCGTCTTCGGACCATCAGCCGCTGATAACTTCTTCCCCTGTGGCAGCGCTGGAGCAGAGCCCCCCCCCCTCCCCTGAATGTACCTCGGTCGCTGTCCTCATTTACCCCTTATGCAGTCCAGTCAACCCTCTGTAGTTTAGTCTTTCTCCTGATTTCTGATCTCTCTGATTTCTTACATGATTTAATCAGCATCCTGCCGTTATGGTGCCACTTTTCAGAGCCCCAGGAAACATTCCTACCCTGTCACTCCACCCATGTACCAAACACACAATTCCCCACACAAGCCTTTTATTGTGTAAGCTGAATACATGCTATTCATACTGTCTGTCACAATATATATATATATATATATATTTAATATGCTACAGCTTAAACCCAGTTTTGCTTAAACACTAGTGTGCCAGTGTAAACAGTGTAAGCGGCATGAAAACATTGGAATGACTTCCCAGCCGTATGTAGAATAAGGGACATGCAGCAATGCAGTAAATACACATTTGCGTGTGGATATGCGACATATGTGGTGTGTGTCCTGCCTGCCACAGCACAGAGGACCTGCATCATCAGGTCTGTCCCCGGTGATGCCAGAGCAGCGCTCTCTCCGTACACCGGGAACCTCTCTGGTTTTCCATCTCCTCCAGGCAGTGTTATATAAGGCGGTCTTCCCGCAGTGACGGGGGGGGGGGGGGATCCTGTACGCGTCCCCTTATGCTTTTAACTTTCTCTCTCTATGACACACGTACGCCGCTTGGTGTATCGGCTGCGTGCTTCCAGATGATTCTGAGCCGATCCGCAGACAGCGCCACTTGCCCCGAGGGCGTGATGTCTGGGGTCGGGATGCTTATTTGCTGGGTAATTATTTCCTGATGCTTGACGGCAGAAGCCCGGACACCGGCAGATCGATTCCCCCGATTTTCCTGGCCGTTTATAGTGGGGAAGCCTCACAGAGGCGGCAGCGGTGGATCATGTGATGCTGTTGCCATGGCGTTCCGGTTCTCCTGCAGAGAGCCGTGGCGGCAGGGGCGGGGGGCGGGGGGTTTGATTCAATTATCCTGAACCGCCCGCACTGCAAGACGAGGACTGACCTGCAGTAAATACAGCGGTGGTCTCTCTCTCATTCAGCGAGCCACTTGCCAGGCAGTCAACTCACCCTGCTTGACCCCATCCAGAAACGGGAAGCTGCAGTGGAAATCGACAGGGATGGTTAAGCATCAGAACACATGAGCTTTTCATTTGCCCCCCCCCCCCCCTTTCTGAAAACATGTCACGGTTGCATAAATGAAATCAAACCGCAAATAATGCAGCATAATGTGAGCAGCCGGGGGGGTGAGCATGCTGTCACACTGCCCTTTAGAAATGCTGCTGCCCCCCCCCCTAGCATGTGAGATCGTGAGCTGAGGAGGCTGCAGGGAGGTGGGGGGATGCGCTGCAGAGGAGAACGGGGGGATCCTGGCTTGCCGTTGCATAAGAGGAGCAGGGGGCTCCCTCCCTTATCTGGCGAATCGCGTGTGGCGCTGCCGCTCGTCGCTGGGGCAGGCTGGCTGCGCGGGGGGGGGGGGGGGGAGGCTGCACCACACCTCTCGTCAGAGCGAGACTGATCCAGGAGAGGGAGACCCGCCGCCGCCGCTCCTCCTGCTCCTGCCTCCGATCGCTTCCACCTGGGGCCACTGTGACCCCCTCCTCATCGGCGCCACCGTCCTGCTGCCGCAGTCATTGCCGTAGTCCGTTACCCTGGGCCGGCTGCAGACATGGGGGTGAAGAGGAGGCTGTCCGCAGAGGGGGACGCCGCATTCGGCCGCTTCCTACGCCACTAATCGCCCCGCGACGAGGGTGGGGGGGGGGTGAGCGAGGTGGTGGATTTTTAGCACGCAGGATCTCCATCAACGGGGCTCCCCTTGGGGGGCGGAAAGCCGCCGGCTCCAGCGGAAAACGGCGTCCAAAATGCCCGAGGCGAACTACCTGCTGTCCGTGTCGTGGGGGTACATTAAGGTGCGTAACGGTGCTGGGGAGGGGGGCAGGGGGGATGCAGTGATGGCTGTTTACTGTATGCGGCTGGTGCTGGAACCTCCGTGCTGGTCTCATCTGCAGACTTGCAGCTCCGGTGCGGGGGGGGGGGGGCTGGTAGGTGAGGGGAAATTTGGGGAATGATTTAGCGCAGGCATCCCCCCCCCAATATCAACAACACTCCAGAGCGCTGCATGCGTGTGCACACTGGCTGCGGCCGCGTTCGGCTGCGTCTTTCATCCCCGCAGACTGGTGAGGCGCATCTCCGCATGCAGTGTCAGTCTGGCGGAGACGCCACGCTTGGAGGAATCGCTCGTTATGCTCGTGACGTGGGAATCGCCGCCATGTAAATTCTCGGAGCGTAAATGCTCACTGTGTTTCTTCTCCTTCCCTACAGTTCAAGCGGATGCTGAACCGGGAGCTGACGCACCTGTCGGAGATGAGCCGCTCCGGGAACCAGGTGTCCGAGTTCATCTCCAACACCTTCCTCGGTAACTACGCCCCCAAGGGGTAACATGGGGATGTGCGGGCAGGGACTCAGACATGCTTCATACAGCTTCGGGTGTTTTGTTGGATCTGGGAGAGGGTTTGTTCATTACAGCATCTCTGATCCCCCCCAGGATGAAAGATTGTTCATTTGCATATTGCTGCTCAAGTCCCCCACACACACACACCCAGGGGGGGGCCTGAAGCCTCCAATAGGGTTTCAGCTGAGTTTGCCCCATTTTGGGGGGATTTATCCACACCCAGCCCATCATTCCAATAGTCACTACTGCAGTGTCCAACGCAAATCCACCTATCCACTTAACCGTCCTGTTTCCGTCAATCTTTATAGGCAGGTTGCTTTGGCACCAGCCGATCCATTTAGCACAAGTAAATAAGACGGATACGCATGGTGAATCACTGTGTCGTTGTATGTCAGGTGTCTTTGATTGGCAAATATTGAGTACAGCATTTGAGATTGGAAATTAACTCATTGGTGGGAGATTTGATTATTGCTTGTAATCCATCAAATTTCCCTCCTCAAGAGTACAAAAAAAAGAATGCTATTTGTTTACATTCCAACTCTGAAATGTTGTATCAGAACATACATGATTCCGCAATGTATCTAATATGACATTTTACTATAAATTTACATAAAATTTACATGCAACATAGTCAGTGAAGAGTAGTACCTTTTTGTTTATCTGCTGCTTCATGATAAGATTAGGATGGTGGCTTACAGGAAAACAGCGTTGTTTTGGCACGCTGTGGGTACTGCCAACAGGGGGCGCCGTGCAGTGTCCTGCAAGAGAAAATCAGCCGCCTTTGCATCTGGGTCATCCTGCAACGGGGAAGGGAAGAGACAGATTCATATTTAATGTGGCAAGAGGGGCCCAGTGGCGGGGTAGAGGGTCGGTTTGCTGGCTCAGGCCATCGCCATGGTGACCCCACATCACCCGAGTGCCGACGTTAGTCACGGGATTGTTTATCTGGCTGAAATCAAGAGACACGGCTGGTGTCCACTGGGTTAGTGTGTTCCTTGCTTGAGGAATTATCTGAATCAGAGTAATATGTAGGAAGCTTCTCTGGGGCATGAGGAACACTCTCTGCTTATCTCACACGGCCAGTTTTTGCACTTCAGTTCCCTTCCAGCATGTTCCACGGGCCGCCAAGTCCCCCCCGAAACTGAGCTTGCCGTGAAACCGCACCATTGCAGTTCACACTGAAGAATTTGAGATGTCTCTGTCTGCTCGAACTGGTGGGGGAGTAGAGGCATGGTATTTTCTCAAATGGAGACTTCACAGGTGTAGAGTGTTATGGCTCTTATCTGGCGACAGACCATTGACGTCACTCTGGGAAACGGGAGTTGTGGAATCAGATCTTAAAACAAAAGGCCTTTGTTTCATGGTGTTTAACAGAAACAAGGAGCAGCCTCAGTGTTTTAAGGGTTCTTCTGGACTTTTTTTCTTGCCCTCGATGTACCGAACGGCCAAATCGAGGAAGGAGAGGAAGGTAGTCTTTGTTAACTGCAGAAAAATAAAGGTCAGAGGAAGAGTGAGGAAGGGTTAGGACGCAGTCAAAATTTAAGTCTTGTGCGTCATCCGGTGTTTAAAAAAACAGCAAGACGTGATGGCCAGTTGGCACCAGGAGCCTTGTTTACAGCTGAGTGAAAGTGTGCACTTTTTAACCCTCTCTTGTTTTCCTCAGACAAGCAGAACGACGTCGAGATCCCGTCGCCTACGCCAAAGACCCGGGAGAAGAAGAAGAAGCAGCAGCTCATGACCCAGATCAGCGGGGTGAAGAAGGTGACGCATGGACCAAACCTCTCCAACTGCAGCATCTCCCGCTTTGGGGTCAAAACCGACAAGGAGGACCTGCTCTCCAAGGTAGGAGCTGGTCTTCATCCACCCAGCAGAGTAAATCCCATGAGGACCTTTGGGTTTATAACCTTTCTCAGGGTCACTTAAGTGCACCTAAGTGTTCAGATACAAGGTTCTCCTTCCATGGCCAACCCCAAGAGGGTAGATCCCATGATAGTTCTTTGGCATTGGAAGTCAAACCAGATATTCCTGTAGATTCTGGAGGTTTTCCTGATGACAGTGCATGAGATGATGTCATCCCCAGGCCCGGCACTTAAGCATCCTATTCTCTTATCTGCAGGAGCTAGAGAATCTCAACAGATGGGGCCTCAACATCTTCACCGTGTCTGAGTACTCCCATCACAGGCCCCTCACCTGCATTATGTATGCCATCTTTCAGGTGAGTACCATCTCCAAAAGTCTAGACACTCCAGGAAAACATCTCTGGAGTACACTTAAGGTTGGGTTGTATTGTGCTGGCACTCTGACTCATTTCACCTTGCCTATCAGGAGAGAGACCTACTGAAGACGTTCAAGATCCCTGTGGACACCTTTGTGACCTACATGATGACGTTAGAGGATCACTATCACTTGGACGTTGCCTACCACAACAGCCTGCATGCCGCTGACGTCGCTCAGTCCACCCATATTCTGCTGTCCACACCTGCCCTGGATGTGAGCATCACCTCCCCTAGCTTCCTGACAGCTCTTCAAGCAATTATGTTATGTTGAGAAACATAAATTGATACAAAAATGAAACTCATTGGTGCATAATGAGTAACTAAGGAATCTTTTAATTGGTCTATGAGCGAATTACAATTTATGGCTCCTCCCAGTTGGAATTCTGCTGCCGTCTGCATTTACTTATATGGCCGTTCTCCTCCTCCTCCTATCTCAGGCTGTCTTCTCTGACCTTGAAATCCTTGCTGCCATTTTTGCCGCCGCCATCCACGATGTGGACCACCCCGGGGTTTCCAATCAGTTTTTAATCAACACTAGTGAGTATTTCCTCTCTCATACCCACCAGTCCGCGGCAAGCTTCCTGGTGTTGCTCCTGTCAGAAATCCTCACCGGCTTGCGTCTTCATTCCAGACTCAGAGCTGGCCCTCATGTACAATGATGAGTCAGTACTGGAGAACCACCACCTGGCTGTGGGCTTCAAGCTGCTGCAGGAGGAGAACTGCGACATCTTCCAGAACCTCACCAAAAAGCAACGCCAGTCCCTCAGGAAGATGGTCATAGACATGGTATGATACCTCTATTCATCTTTAACACCATGGTCATCCATGTCAACTGCCAAGCTCCTTGCTAACATGAGTCCATGTGTGTCCTCCAAGGTTTTGGCGACTGACATGTCCAAGCATATGAGTCTGCTTGCGGACCTGAAGACCATGGTTGAGACCAAGAAGGTGACGAGTTCTGGAGTACTGTTGCTGGACAACTATACTGACAGGATACAGGTATATTATCTCTCTGCCAGAGCACTGTGATCTTCATTAGAGACACAAGTCAGACTTGAGGTGCCTCTCTCTACCATCACTCGTAGCTTAATGTAATAATTATTGAGAACTGGAGACACCATATTAGGTTATTTTCCTCTAGGTATTTTTCGACAGGCCTTGAAAACTGATTTTGGTCTTCTTCTCATTGATTGGCCAACAGGTTCTCCGTAACATGGTTCACTGCGCGGACCTCAGCAACCCCACGAAATCCCTGGAGCTTTACCGGCAGTGGACCGATCGCATCATGGATGAGTTCTTCCACCAGGGTGACCGCGAACGGGAGCGGGGCATGGAGATCAGCCCCATGTGTGACAAACACACAGCCTCTGTGGAGAAATCCCAGGTGTGTATCCCTCCCCTGGCGCAAACAAACAGAGGGAATGGCTTTTAGAGTACTGTTGAAGAGACAACTAATGTCGAACCATGTTCATCTCACAGGTGGGCTTCATCGACTACATCGTGCATCCTTTGTGGGAGACGTGGGCAGACCTTGTGCACCCAGATGCCCAGGACATCCTGGACACGCTAGAGGACAACAGGAACTGGTACCAAAGCATGATTCCTCAGAGTCCCTCACCGCCTTTCTATGACCAGGGCAAGGACGGTCATGGGGGTGGAGACAAGTTCCAGTTTGAGCTGACGCTGGAGGAGGAGGATTCCGAGGGGACGGAGAAGGAAGGTGTGGGTGAGGCTCACTCCCCGCTGGACTTCTGCGACAGCCAAGATGGTGGAGGAGCTCTGCCGCCCACACACATAGAGATTGTGACGCAGGACGCCTCGCCCGTGGACACATAGATGTGGACCTTTGTCCCAGCACTCGCTGACGTCTTTTTTTCCCGGGAGAATCCCCACGGTCCTGCTTTTGAGGAGCCTCAGGACTGACTTTCGGCCAGGGACGGCCAACCGCCACCATCCACCCCCACCCCCCCCCGTCATTGCCGCACTACTTCTCTGAGCCAGAAGTTTGGGGGGGTTGGTTTTTGAGATGAACGTTGAGGGAGTCCTCAGGCTGTCACTGCCGACACCTGATAGAGCAGCCGGGTGTAGAGGTGAAGGACGGGATTCGGTCGGGAACGCTAGGTGGCATAACGCCACGGTTCAGCTGCCGCTGTGAGATTTTTCTACCAAGAGACAAAGTTTTGTCGGAAGAGGAACATTGTGAAGTAGCACATGGATCTAATGAGCAAAGGATATTTGTACAGAGAAATGGTTCACTATTTCTGTAAAATCTGTCCGAGGACTGTGTGCCTTTTTTACAACTGTCTTTTAAATTTTTTTTATTTATTGAACACGCTTTATAAGTGAGATGTTTTTTTACACCAGGAAGCTCATCAGCGAAATCCTTTTGTAAAATCAGAAAAGAGAATACAGTCTTCCTACTGACTGATATTGGGCAATATTGGCTCTATCGTATAGGCATGGGAATAATTCAGCGTCAAAGAGACATCCACCCAGATTTCATTTCAGTTTTCAACATAGTAACTACATTAGAACTGAAAGTACCATTTCAGATGTTGCACAGGATTTGTAACATTTCAGTTATATATACTGCCTGTTTGCTGATCTATAGGAAGATGGATGTGAATACCGTAAGACTAAGACATTTGCTAGGATTCATTAACATTGTTTCATTTTGTAGATACATAGAAGAGAAATCAATATTATTTTCACCCACCCATTTTTCTCATGATTCCAACTCAAATCTTGATGATGAGGGAAATTAAAAAAAAAAAGCACTTTAGCAATCTAAACACTGCTGCATACAATCGAGGACCTTGCAATATTTCTCACTATTTATTGAGACTGAAAGTTGACTGTTTTTATCAATAACGTGATGCTGAACAACACTCAAGGTAGTAGGTCTTCCCAGGTCTCCATAGTAAGCTGTTCTCAGAATGTGAGAAAAAAAGAATGTGACCATATCCATCAAATCTCATTTATTTGTGAATAATTTGAGGCAATACGATGAACTGATAAAGTCGGCAAAGACCAATAGGCTGTTTTGTTTTGAAAAGGGTCATTTGGCATGACACAGTTGATATCCTCATGCTTGCCGTACCTCCTTCAGCTTTCTCATCATCAAGGTTTGATTGGCTGCATCTACAACTTCCCTTACAGTCTGGTCAGAAGCAGCAAACGATCTAAACAAAAAAAAGAGGCCATCCGAACTAAAGCAAAAAACAATCACCTAAACGAAACCAAAAAACCCACCATCTAAAGTAAACTAAGTTCAAACTGGGAAAGTTGGAATAATTGGGTGTAGGTCAGCATCCCAGATGGCACTCTGGCAGAAGGTAGGGAGTTTTGGGCCAGACTTGGGGGTGAAGTTTCCCATTTTGTCATTTCGCCGATCATGTTCGAGGCCTGCTGTCGTGGGCGGAGGTACTTAAATTGCGGCACAGCCCGGCTGTCTATGTCGCATAGCGTTAAAACTCAATAAGACACATTGCTTCATGGCCGCGTTGTGTGTGTGTGTGTGTGTGAGAGAGAGAGAGAGAGAGAGACTCTCTTTTCAATAGTCCGCACCTCCGCTTTGCACCTGAACTCATGTGTCCTTTACTGTTTATAACAGTGTATTTATTTACCTTAGCTTGTAAATACTATAGTGTTCATTGTAAATTAATTTTAATTTATATGCACCGGCTTCGCCTCTGATGGGTGGCGTTAGTGTGTAGAATGTTCTGCGGTTCAATCTTTTTATTTAGGAAAAATACACTTTTTCGATTTTTATGCTGCACCATACGAAAAGGGGTCCTGAACATTTGCTGAAAACGAAAGGCAAAGTTAACCATCGGGTGAGGGGATAGTCACGTGGTTCGGCGGAACACGTGGACGGTCCTGATTCTGGTTGCTAAAATTCTTACGATGCCGACCTAAACTCGCACACTGCAGCACCTCCAGTAACGATGGGAACAATTTCAAGAGGCTGGAGCTTCCATAAGTCTCTCCCTAATGAGAAACACCACGGTTTTTGAAAAAAAGACGCTTGGCACGGAGTTATTTCCTGGCTGTAAGAATGACAGCTGACGTGGACTCCATTAATTATGAACATGCATAATTCTTGTGCTGAAGTGGCGAAAGAAAAACATCTTGTTTTGTTATATTCTTACTCAAACTGTCAGTATAACTCTGTACTCCGTGTTAAATCTTTCGGTCCAAATCGCGTCCCAGATGGTTAACCAGAAGTAGTCAAATCTGCATGCCCAGTGGGTGTGTATGTCTGTTAAATACTGCATTGTTTCAGGTGAATATTTAATGTTTCACACAATGTATGGTATAGTATTGTATATTGTGTCCAGAAAAATCATATACTTTTTCTATGAACTGATTAAAAAAGCATGAATACATTTCTGTTGAATGTAGTTTTTTTTTACCAATCTCTTTCACTTTTGAAAGGATCCAGACGGCAAAAATAAAATAATTCGAAGAATATGTATGCGTGGACTATCAGGAAATCATCTGTGTGTGAAAGGCAAGGATAACCCTAATGATCATATATCCCAAATCAGTGACATGTGCAAATGGGGAATTAAAATTAGAGAGAATGAATTGCAGTGTATTACCCCCTAAACCTAACCATTTTCCCTTGACTGGTTTTTAAACCGTTTACATAGCTATGCTATATCTATCTTTCTATGTACTAGTGAAATAAGTGTGTTACCCCTTTAGAGACTTGAACCAGCAACCTTCTGGGAATGTTTCCTGTTTCATAGCCACTGCAGCCCAAGTTTCCCTGACGGCTTTAAATACAGCACCGTAATTATGGTGTCCACCCCACGGCCACAGGAATCTGTCTCAGCCTTAAATATCACTGTGTGTGGTCCCGTTCCCTCCCACATCCTGGGGAAATGACATTCAACGACTGCAAATTCAGTGTGGAACCAGAATTCCCTTCCCCAGCGCCAAACACCCTCCGTTCCTTGCAAACTTGGGTGGGCACTAACAATACGTGCATAAACCCATCTGGTGTAGCGAGATGATAAACACTTTAGGTCCGGCAGGTGGCGCCAACGGCAAAGCACAGGATACAAAGACAGTTTTCTGCCATATCGCATGCTTCAGCTTTGGCGGTCACATCGGTTCAGTGGGTAGACCGCTGGCTGGGCTAAATGATGTTTCTAAATTGTCCATAGTGTGTATGTATATGGTGCCCTGTCCTGCCTGACGAAAGCTTCAGTTTACTCTGAGAAGAATAAGCAGTTGGAACACGGGCGTTGTTAGGTCCGATCAATCGGGGATATAGCGTCGAATATTTTAACCTTAGCCCCGATGCATTTCAAAAAGAAAAAAATATTAAATAGCTAGAAATTCCCCTGAGTTGGAAGAAGAATCGATGGACAATCCGACCTCCCTTATTTCCCGAACCAGCTCTCTGTATCCCTCTGTGGCCTAGGGGGAGCCATGCTCTCTGGCTGTAGCAATAATAGACGTTCAGTTGGAGTTTGTGTCAGGTCACTGGTAAAGCAACAGCCATTAACGGAGACATTTGGCTGTCAGAGTACATCAGAGGGAAAGTGTATTAGGCTTTCATTATTGCTGATGGCTGTCTGCATAGTGGCACAGCAATGTCCCCAAATCCCGGTTAGTTAGTGCTGAACTCGCTCTGGGGATGGGGGGGCGGTGCTTTCAGACCTACTCATAAAACCAGTTAAGGGTGCAGTGGGCTGACTCCGTGTAACCGATCCTCCGCCACCGGCAGGGGGAGCTGATGGGCGATGCCGTCAGTCGTGTTGTGAGTCCAGATTTGCGTTTAAAACATGCGCACTGCTCATTTACAGATGTAGCGTAAACCTGTATATTCAGCATATCCCTGGTTATTGTTTTTAACCCCTTCATTTTCTGCATCTCCAAGGAGCTTCATAAAAAAACAGTAAGTAAGCCATTCTCCTAATTCCGGGTCAGGTCCGTACCCTAGAGATCAAATCATGATTTCCTTATTAACTCTACGGCGTCTCTGTAAAGTTCTTTTAAAACTAAATTAACATTATTTCAACTTTCTGTGCCCATTTTCTGTTTGTACCGCGACTGCTCTTCCGGTGATTATAATACTGATAGTATCACGTCGAAAAAACTGTCTCTCATGAAAGGCAAAATGGGATAAGTGAATATCAAGAAATATTTCCGGAGTATCATGTATAAATGTCAAGTAAATAAAGATCTTGATGTTTGTTTGAAAGTATCCCGTGATACACAACAGCTCAGCTGCTGTTTTTGTACATTGGGAGTTAGGCCTAGTTTCAGTTAATAGAATAAATGCAAATACTGCAAAAAATAAGTATGTATTTGTAGATCTACTCTTTTATGTTTTATGATTATCCTGTTTCTTAGTGGACATTCAAAGCAACTGTTTCTTAATTTGTTTTATTTTAGTTTTTTTGTGTACAGATGCAATTAAACTTAAGTATAGTTAGTAGGATTAAAATTAAGTAGGTTTACAGTGGTATAAACAATAAACTCATTTTAACATGTTTGTACTGTTGTGGATCAGGACATTTTAATGGGGTGTTTCTGGTCAATTATCTGGATTAAAGGTATAATTATTTGTTCTACGTTTTAAAGGAAAACGCTTACATAAGGTAATTATGTGATTTTTTTTGTACACATATAATAATGAGGACAGGTTTTGTCAGATTTAAACCGACATGCTTATTATGTACTCACAATGATCTTCACTGAGAGTGATTCTTCATGGATGTTATTTACTTGTGGTCGTTTTATCCTGTTTGGTGGTAGCTGGTCATTGTATCATGCATTTTGATTCCTGCCTGCATTCTAACATCTAAATAGCTAGTAAATTACAATGCATGCCATTACATCTTTAGAAAGTGAAGTTCAGACCAAACTGTACCTGAATGTGCTGAAGCCTTCAAAATCATTCTTACTTCTATCAAACAACATGCAACGATAAAGAATAATAACTAGTGTGTGTGTGAGAGAGAGAGAGAGCAAGAGAAAGCACTCTGGGAAAAATTATGCGACCATTCTGTGTGTGTATATACTGTATATATATATTAAAATATGCATTCTTAAATCCTGGTTTAATCCTGGGTCTGCTGGCAGAATAGTGCCAGAGATAACCGTTACCTTATCCGGCAGTCCCTCATATATCGGAGGATGACATCAAGTGACTTTCAATAAGAATGCAAAACATTAAGTGGTGTGAGGTGCACTGCTAGGACAATTCATAACAGGCCCCTAGAAGCAAGTCCCACAAAGCAAGGAAGAAGCCCTTCATTAATGAGAAGCATATATAAAATTTATATTTTCCATAGGTGCATACCCATAAATTGAGAAATGAGTGAAACTGAAAAATTTGCTGCGGTCTCTTAATTTTCTCCAGAGCTGTGTGTGTGTGTGTGTGTGTGTGTGTATTATTTATATAATATAAAATACACAGACCCACGCCCTCCTCGGTTGTAGATTTGGCTATGGGCGGCAGCGATGTGTCCCTTCCAGCACTGTGGGTGTAACATGTGTCTTTAGAAGTGTAGGATTTTTCGGGCTGATTTGGTCCCTACTAATGTTGAAACCACAACTACGCCCTTTATCTACACGCAATAACACAAAAGTAGGACAGTGGTTAATAAATGACAATGGTGACTGGGCTTGAAGTGCAAGTTATCGGCGCATATTTAACATTCTTATTGGTCATTTGTAACCAGGCAAGCATAGGCATGTATAGTGGGATCGGCACTTTAAAGGGGCCCTTAAAGACGTAAAAAGTAAGGTGACGTTTTGTCAGGGGGCTGTTCGTTTCTAGCTGCAGCCCTGGTTTAAGTGTGGACGCGCTCTTGTGGAAATGGCTAATATGTGTGAGCTCAGCACGCAGTGGAAAGATGGGGGCAGAAGGGCAGCTGCGATTTGGACCAGAACAGGATGGACGCGGTCTGGCGTTTGCTCGCGGGGAGCCTCGCGGAGTGCGGGGCATGCGCGCGGTCACGTGAGGCGTACGCGGGACGCTGCTGCACAGGAGATAAAGACAACTTGAAGATAAGATAAAACGTAACTTTAGTATTTATTTAAAACCGACCCCTCCCCCGTACGCCCACAGACAAAATCACACCATTGTGTGCACTGTTAGTGTGTGTTGACGGGCTTAAAGCCAGTAATCGGGGTGGCGACGGGTCGTTCTGGGACAGATGGGGGGCGCGGGGGGGATGGCCGGTCGCCATGTGACGCGGGGGCGTTCGGGGGGGGGCGGTTTCCGAGCCGCCGATGCGGACCTGAACGGCGGCCAGTGCGAGACGTAACGCCGGAACTGTGGAGATGATGATGAGCGAGGGAAAAACCAGCACGAAAATGCGCTGGAGCTGACTGGGATTTTTTAGAGGGGGCGTGTCCTCACCTACGGATCCTGCTAGAAGCGCATGGGAGTGTTTTTAGAAAGGCGCTGAAAGTTTTGAGTCATCCCGTCGTTTGTTTCTCTCCGGTTTTAAATGTACTGTATTTCCCCGCTGGATACGTGGTTGCATATGGCGTTTCATATGAATGAATTAGCGTTTATTTAATCGAAGGCAAACCCACGGCAGTCAGCACAACACTGATCTCAGCTCGATTAAAATAACACGCTCGTCCATCCTAACACTAAGTCAACGGTGAAATGATGATGAGTGTTTCCCATTTGTAGGAGTATGGCATGGGGTCCGAGCCCAGGGTCAGCTGGCATATGATGCCGCTGGAGCGTTTGGGTTAAAGGCCTTGCTCAATGCCTGCATCATCAAATGGATGCCTCAGGCTTTAATCCAGCGACCTTCCGAGTATCAGGAGTCTTTAATCAATGAGACATGCACACCCCCCCCCCCCCCAAATTATCACTGTCGCCCTCTAATGGTAATAATTTAATTGCAGGTTCTGGGGGTTTGTTTGATCTGAATACTCCATTAGAGTATGGTGTGACACTGTTGCTTTTTTGGGACTGTTTGTGGTTTTACTGCTGTATATTTTATTTATTTTGGCTTTGTCAGAGTGTTGTACAAATTCAGCACCTCCACCAGCCTTGATCGGTGCCTGACTTCATCGCTTCTCATCCTAGAGCATCTGCCCTAAAAGTTCTGTAGGTCTCCTGGCTGATTGGCTCTGACTTTAACTCACTCTGTCAATCCATGGTTCCCCTTGCATTTTAAACAGCCTCAGCCTTATTTTGAATCTTCTGTGGTTTCGGGCTGCGTTTCCCTCCATTATCTGGTTCCTTTATCCGGTTCGGGATTGTATTGGACTGTCCCTGCTATGTTATCCTGTTAGCTGAATGTTATTAAATGATCACTGCTTTGTGTTTCTAGAATTTTTCTGTCAGGGCTGATTTGGAATTTTTGGCTGTTTGTCTTTGCATCACATTCTATATGAAAGT